AAACATCTTGACCGGCTCTAAATGTCTATGATCACAGTAAGAGCTTAAGACGAGCCGCGCAATGCTTTGAAATCTGCGACCGAACAGCCCGATTACCCACCCTTCGATGTTGGCGCATTGCACCGGGAACTGACGCCCATTGTGATTGGTTGACATACCCCTCAACTCCAGTATAGCTGCTTGGACCTTCGCGAAAGCCATACTTGTTCGAGGTACCACGCTCTCAATAATCGTAGCGGTCATTATTTACACACCCCTGGCACTCGATTCACCTGCGATTGTGTCTGTTCTCGTGTCGGTCCCACCTACCCACCCTCGCTCGATGTGGGCCCGTCGTTCCTGGACTCGTGTTACTCACAGCTCCGTGTGCCTGTTTAGGATGTCCTTCCTCGCTGCTGCATGGAAGGACAGATGTCTGTTGCCGGGTGTTGGTCCCTCTCGTAATAATCAAGCATCGACGAGGGCATATGTGTCAGTGTATCATATGCTATCATGACTGGGATGAGACTCGCTTTGATTCAGCTCAGTCAAGATATAACGATGTGATGTACATCGACTCCTTCATCTTAGCCAGGTCATTCGATAAGACGACACTTAGGTCTTCGACTAAATGGCGTGAACGGGATAAGACGACACTTAGGTCTTCGACTAAATGGCGTGAACGGGATCAGCGACCTATCCGGCTCGATTCTAAATCGGCACTACTTGCATGTCCTCCTTCAGTCTGTTTATTCTGAAGTATTCCTGACACGTTCAAGAGCTTGTACGCATGGTGAAGGCGTGGATGAGTCGCATTGACTTGGAAACTTGGACATACGAATCGCCTAACCGCTCACGTACGGTGCTGGTGCAGCTCGTTTGAAGCCGAGACCGGACGAAATCATTGCCACTTGTCCAACCACTTCCCTTGCATCCATTGTGAAGACACTTCTCCGTCCAGATTGGGTATATGCGCCCCTTTCTTTCGTCGGAGTGTCGAACGATTCCCGCATCCGGCCACATCACTCGCAATCAGTTTGAATACTTGCATCGGTCGGGTCTTGTACTTTACTTAATTTCCAAGGTTCAATATCTCTGAGAGACCCGCCCACCCTCCCCCGTTCGACATGGGTCTATCGGGCTGTGCTTGTACCCACTAAACCATTCAATGTCAGTGTAACTGCTATCCACCCTCGATGCAAGTAATACATCGCTGTGACTGGAGCCCTCAATCAAATCCGACATTGCACCCCTTTGCGAGTGGTTCGTTTGTCGGAATGGCCCGTCCACCCTCCCACACTCGTGACGGCTCAGCATCATGAATTGCTAGGATATGTACTTGTCAAAGTTCACTGCGTCAGAGAGTCCCACCCACCCTCCCACCATTATCATGGGTTTGTCGGTCCAGCCTTGTATCCAACAAAGCCGATCGGTGCCGGTGTAACTGCTATCCATACGCGATGCAAGTAATACATCACTGTGACTGGATGTCTGAATGCAATCTGGTATTCCAACCATTCTCATGTTTCGATGGTCGGAGTCGCCCATCCACCCTCCCACCTTCCAGACAGGCGCATCATCATGAATTGCCACAATCTGTACTTGTCAAAATTTACTGCGTCGCAGAGAAGAACCCACCCACCCCAGATCGAGACGGGTTCATCAGGCTGGTCTTGTATCCATCAAAGCCGTCAATGCCGGTGTACTTGCTGTTCATATCCGACGCAAATAAGACTTCAATGGCTGTGGCGCTCAATCAAACCTAGCATTCCACCCATTGGCGAGTGTTTCGATGGTCGGATTGAACCACCCACCCACCCCCAGTCGTGACGGGCGCAGCAACGTGATGTCATTGAAGCCGTTTTTGTGGTTGTCGGTCTAGATCTTGTCCGCTATCCACAAGAGGAGCATCCAACACATGGTGTCAATCTCCGCCGAAACCATTCGGTCCCTCCAAGGCTACTCCCGTCTGCGCACGAGACATGGACCACGAACGATATGAAAGTCGTTGGAATGCTGATATGGCAATACCTAACAGAGTATTAACGGATGCCCTCTCCTATCCACCCGAACAGCAATTCCATGTTTTTGGTCCACTGCCGTCATTGGCCACTGACGAAGAACCACCTGTCGCAATTTCGTCGCGTGCAACCTAACAGGAGTGTCCATGACATCCGTAGGCCGGCGAAATGACTCTCATGCCATGTACACCATATCCGCCACTGTGTCCCGTGTTCGTTACGGCAATGGAGCCGATGAGGTCGTCACTGCAACTCGGATCCTCGTAACAGGTCCTGCTATGCACCCGTCGATTATCTTCGATAGCCAACATCTGTCGTGTTGGTTGTAGCTGGCTTCGCGGTCGGTGCGGTGCCATGTCACTTGGACAGGCATTCCTCCTCCATTTTGGTATCCTGGATGAATACTCAATGTCAATGCATCCAGTATGCTCTGAATGCCGTTCCCAATTCTTTCTAGATATCGGTTTAATGGGTTTGGCGGATTGCGACCGTGCAATATGGTGGAGTCGCCGGTCGCGAGACCATCCTGCCCCTCAACATCACCAATACTGCTCGTATCAGCAAATAGAAAGCGGGGCGTGACGTTGGATACTTTAAATACCATTCTCCCGACCGGTAGCATCTCCGTTGAGTGATGTTGACCCATGATTCTGACTCCATCGAGGCATCCATCTCCCCGTCACACCCTTTCTTACTTGACGCCAACGAATGCAATAGAATCTCCAGAGCCAGGACACATTCTTCCAGTCCGTGAGCGGCCAGTGCATGTCTGCCAGCGCCGGTCTCTTCTGTCCATGCCGTCGCGCTGTCTTCCACCACTGCCACAATCTCACCAACTGCACTCTACAAACACATTCTGTCTACACGTCCTGGACATTCACTCTACTCTATCACTCTCTATTCCATCCATTTGGACGTACTCTTTCTACATACAGTACAATTGGAAGTACTCTTGTCTACACCATACAATTGGAAGTACTCTCTTCTCTATACTATCCACCCACCCGCCCGCTCCCCCAGCCTCCAGCCCCACCTCCCACCTACCTAGGGGAAAAATTTGCACCCCTCCGGGTGCATTATATGTTGAGAAACTAAGGCAAGCTAACTCCAATCTCCGACGCTTGTTCGAAGTTTACCAGGAGAGGTAAGAGGGACGGTCGGGAAACAGTGTGGACAGGCTCCCCGACCGGAAGGAACGTACCAATCTCGGCCGTCGTCATCGGAGGGGCTCGGATCCGACTCTTCGGCATGGTTCCCCTCCCGGGCGTCGTTCGGCTGCAAGGGATCTCGTATGCTGTAATGCGCTCGCGGAGTTTGGCCGCAACGGTGGCAGTTTGGTCGTTCGGGCGGGTAGGGCGTACATCTTTGTTTACTGCATTACTCCACCATAAGTATACAGATGGCCGGCCTCATTCTCCAATAGACCACACTTGCCTGATGGTGCTGAGCGCTTCCAATAATGTCATGGTGGCTCTCTGGGGCCCAAATTCCCCGCCCCCTTCCACCCCCCCCCACCCCCCCTTTTCCCCCCCCTTTTTCCCCCCCCCCCCCCCCACCCCCCCCAAAACCCCCCCCCCCCAAGGGGGGGACCGAGTATGTTGCCTGCGTGTTCGCTGAGAAAGTAGTCGAGGAACTTGCAGATGGGGTATTCGAGGGGTCGTTACCCAAAGATGTTGCGCGTATAGTCGCTGATGGAGTAATCGAAGGAGCATGTGAAGGGTTATTGCCCAAAAATGTTGCGTGAAGTCATGGGTGTAAGTCTCTTGAGAAATAACCAATCTTCCAGAGTGGCAACCAATCTATCACTGAGTCCATGGTTCTCGTTACCAATTATCGCGAAAATGGTTTCATATCATTACCGAGTATCAGCGAGAGATGTACATGCGACCTTTCGTCTCTTTGGTATATTGTCTGCTAGATACATTTCAAAGCCATATATTCTGCCGTTACGGAATCTCTATACAGGTATCATGTCTCCAAAATCTCCGGTCCCCACATGACCCTTTTTACCGTCGTACACCTCGAATGCCATTCCAAAGTACCCATACAAGCTGGTAAACAACGCGATACCTCTCAAAGTCGACACCACTGATGCGTAGGTCATGCGGAAAGATGGTGCAGCGAAGTCGTGCACGTTTATGACAACGTTGCCATACTTGTACTCGACCCGATTTAAGGGCAGGAAGCCGTCTCCTCCCTTTGCGAGGACAGCGCCGAAGAGGTATCCGATGCCTTCAATGACGCAAAGGTCAAGCTCCGTTTGCGATACAAGTTTGGTAAATCTGGAGAAAACGAGGCTGGTTTGGGTGCCTGGGATGTAGAAGATGATGGTGTTGTTGAGCAGAGATACCTTCTGCGGACTGGACGCGTTTATGGGTGCCCTGCATGTTCAGTAGACGTCCGCGCCAAGTCTGGCTGACTCGCCACTACTCACACTTGGTATATGGTTCCAATTGGTTGATTCAGTGCGATGTTGACGGGAAGGGTTGATGCGTAAGCTAATGTGCCAAAAAGGGTATATGCTAGGAGGATCAGCAGGAACCGGGACGCCATGACGCTGAGTATTGACCAAAGCAACAAGAGATTAGAGGAAGAGAAAATCTTCGCGGGGTCTGAGTCGCAATGTCGAGGGACAAGGGCCGTTCACCTTTGAGTGAAAGCGACTTGCGACTTGCGACTAGCGCAGCCTACACTATTTTAGATGGGAGCGGCTGTGGTAGGCTGAATCTGCACAGTGAGATCTTTAACCTATTCTTCGCATAGTCTCCAACGGAGATCCCCCCGAAACAATCTTTCCTATAACAATCTACAGCTCTGCTCTCTAGCGATACTGTGCGTTACATTACGAATAATCTTCATTCAATGCTGCGCCTTTGGAGCATAATCCTACTTGTACGATCGCACCCTTTCTACTGCCGCACATCTAGACCTCCTGGGTGGTAATTCGAGGCCTGGCATATGTGCGGAGACAGGATCATTGCCCAGCATGAAATCCAACAGATGGAGACCTGCAGTCTTCGTTTTGCTTCATATCTTACCAATTGCTTATGTGTTCACACTCCAGGAAATCATGCGTCCCCGCAGTCTTATAGCACCGACGCTTGTGCAAAACAACAGTACATCCTTATCGTCAATTGCAGGGTAAGCTTAGTCATATGCTTGGATTTGGACAAGGTCAACGAACACATGTACCAGATCTTGAAAACCCCACACTCCCCCCTGGACCCATGGACCTACATGGGCCCCAAAGGCCGCTACGAATTCTCCAACTACCGCAACCCCAGCATCAAACCTAACTGGCTGGCGACCTTCTTGTTGACCTGCCTGGGCGACATCTTCGATGCGACCGCAACCCAAGGCTTCAGACCAGACGAGCCTTACCCGGACGGAACCTACAACTGCCATCTGGATTACGTCTCGACGTCTGGATCAAGAGGGGATTTTGCACTCGGAATCACAAAGATAGAGGCGCCGGTTTGGTACATGACTTTCTCCGACATCGTGGATGATCTGGAAGCGCTTTGGTATGCCGCGCTGTGGTTTGAAGAAAGGGCCGCTGGTGTTCCGGAAATGGATTTCAATGTGTACCAATTTGATCGACAGAGTTCTGATGCTAGGGGCTCTTCTTTCCTGGCGTCTCGTGGTAACTTTTCATTCGCACTCATCGGCGAGGCCGACGTGGGTAACGCATAATTGTAGTTTGTTTGAACGATGGGTTCGTCGGAGGGTTAGACAGGCGCGTCACGGCGTCTTTTTGCCACTCGCTCCTTGAGTAGTTCACCAACCTTTCGAAATGGAATCGGCTTGGTCAGGTATTCGTCGAAACCGCATTTCGTGGCTTCCTCCCGATCGCGACTCGCACCGAGACCGGTGAGAGCCACAATGTATGAGCGGGCGTCTTTTCGCGATCGTTGACTGAACTGTGGCTCATCATGTTCCTTCTCATCGGCGGCGCCCTCGGTTTCAAACCGGCGAATCTTTCTCGTCGCCTCGAACCCATCCATTCCAGGCATGGAGATATCCATGAATACGACATCGTACGGTTCAACTGCCTTCTGGACCGCTTCCACAGCCTCAAACCCATCGCGCGCACTGTGGATAACGTCATCTTTCCGCTTTGAAAGGAAGCGTTGTAGGAGTTGCAAGTTGATTTCATTGTCATCCACAGCTAAGATTCGCAATCCTCCATTGGGTTTTCCTTTCTGGTTGGCCTCTTTGCGTGACGAGGTAGCATCTGTATGCCCGACTTCCATCGAATTGAATCTTTGCACCAAATCGCCCTCAAATTCGTTGGCAGCAGGCCGCTGAGGATCCGAGATGACCGACAGATGTTGGGGCCGTTCTTGTGGTCGTTGGTTGTCGTTCTCATTTCCAACCAAAGACACAGGTTCCGCAGGACCTGGAATGACCATCTCCGTACGTGGCTGAAGTATAGACAGTAGGTGCCGCGCGAGTTTGTACGGCCCAATGGGACGGGTAACATGCCCGACAACCATCCCAGCCGGATACCGTTGATGACCCTTTGACGTAAGGGTCCCGTTGAGTAGAAGTGTCGGAATATGTTGATTCCCCAGGTGAGACAACGCCGAAGTGGTGCAAGGCTCGTGGGCCTCCAAAGCGATCACCACGTCTGCGTTTGGTATGGTACCCCAGTCGGCGAAGGCGGTTACCGTAAACCCATACCAATCCGACATGTAGTTCCCGACGTGGTTCAAAATGATGTCCTGACCGTTGGCAGGATCTCCACGCATATTCGGAGGTCGCTGGAGCGCGACAGTACTTCCGACGGCAACCTTCTTGAGTGATTCCAATGTGTCATCGGCATCTTGAGGGTTTCCAATGCTGGGTTCTGGAATATCACACCCGTGTGAATGCTCCGGCTTTTCCATTGGAAGGCAGATCTCGACTTCTGTCCCTTTGCCTTGTAGACTGCGCACCGCAATGACACCTCCCAGCTGTTGAACAATGCTCCAACTAAAAGTTGTCAGCAGGTAACATGGCTCCCGTTGTATCAAAGAGACTCACACGATGGAGAGTCCCAGGCCAACCCCAGAAGCGAAGGTGTCGTCTTGCGCGAAAGGGGTATAGAGTCTGTGCCGAAGATACTCATTCGATATGCCACGTCCAGAGTCTTTGACCGTCAAAGAGACTGCGCATTTCTCAGCAGACATACCCTTGACCCCTCTTGCACGCGCCCTGACCGGGTCCTCCGCTCGGAGAGAGATCTGTATGAAGCCATTGTCGGTGTACTTTTGTGCGTTACCGAATATGTTCATGATGATTCGACGAATGGCTCCGGGCTGTGTAAGGAATCGCCAATCTCGCTCCTCAAAGTCCATGACGACCTCTACCGGCTTCCCCAAGGCCTTGACCACCTGCGACAAAGATCGAGGCCCTCTGGGCAAATCACCAGAGGTCGTGATGTCATCAAAATTCTTCGCGACGACCATGCCGTCGACAACCTCTTCACATAGAATCGCCATGTTTGTAACGGAATGCAATTCGTTCGGCAACGGACGGCCTTGTCCGGAAGTGGATCTGGATGCTTCGAAGGAATTGATTTTGCTGAATTCAAAAACGTGATTGATGGTTTCGAGTAAAGTACGGCCACAGTTTTGAACGGTCGATATCAACTCCGACTGCGTTTCGTCATCGGTCAGCTCCCGCAAGAATTCGGCACTCGCAAGGATGCCATGCAGAGGGCTTCGAAACTCGTGTGATATGCTGCTGATAAAGTCCGCTTTGGCTTGGTCCGCCCTGATGACATCGAGGCGGCTGATCTCCATGGTGACCGAGTTTGTAAATGCGGCAAGGTATGCGATCTCCGAGTGGACGGTGAACACCGGTACCGCGGAGTGGCTCCATACCAAACAGCCGGCGTACCATCTTTTGGTGGCTGCGTCCCACATGGGAAGGAAAACGATTTGTCGAGAGCTTTCAAATTTCCGTCTCAACAACGTGGCTTCGGCGATCTCCTCGGACATTCGCCTTTTCACGTCAACTCGGTGGCGGCCGGATTCACTTGACCTGTCTTGGACGTCGTGCAGCTCAACCTGCTCCAAAGACGAGAAGTAGTCTCCTTTGTCGAAATACCAAACGTTGCCTTTGGGGTACATGTTGAGCAAGGTCTGAAGGGTCTTACAGTCCAGTACATTCTTTGCAGGCCGGGCGGGCTGATGTTCCGTGCTCGTCGACATTGCCATGATTTCGGCGGCAGGGTTGCGATCGTCAGAGCTTCTGATTTGCCCCTCATGTGGTTCCGGGTCGGAAGACGAGTGGGCCGCTTGAGGGAGCTCTCGGTTGTGCCGGAAGACGGGCCTGTCATCTTTTCCATCCGCGGCCTCGGTGCTCCGTGCGATTGAAGTATTCGGGTCGGAGTATGCGTCCGTATAGCCGGCTTCGCTGAAACCGACAGCGGTGTCAAGAAACATGACTCCACCCGACTCGATCTCCAGCGACTCCCGTAGGATGATGGCGGCGCTCTCGAGTGTACGTTTGACCGGGTCTTTGGTCTGCGCGGGTGGTCTTTCCGAATCCTCTTGAACACGTCCTTTCTCGTTGAGTACATGTTCCGTATCCGATGATGCTCGAGTCTTGGGTTCATCATCATCACCGTCACGGGACTTGCTCTCAAGGAACCGTGCTATACCGTGGCTCATGAGAGAGACGCGTCTCCTCTCCGCAGCCTCCCGGTGCATCTCCAAATGTTTCATGACGCTTGCCGCTGATTGGCGCATAACTGTAGTCGAGTCAACATATCGATCGGACCGATGATGAGTGGTACGAACCTCTCCGCTGCTCCATATTTAGACCTTCAGGTCGTGGGTTGACGTCCAACAAGAAGAAAGACCCGATCTTTACCCCACGGCTTGTAGCGATGGGAGTGCCAGCATAGAACCGGTAGGCAGCGACGGAGCCATTGACGAATGGGAGATGGCAAAATCTCTCATCCTCCAACAGATCCTCGACCACGAGGCACGGGTACTCCGATGTGGAGTCGTCTGCCGCAACCGTATATTGACATATGCTCTCCCGCATTGATACCTCGGAGCATCCGAACCAATCCGCGTGTCCATTCACATTCTTCCCATCCAGCTCCGCCCCTGCCAAGAAGTATTGCGTCTCCCCATCGATCAAACTATAGGTACGCTCAGCATTCTTCAACGGACGTAATCATCTCCGGCCTCCTGACCTGATCATCGCCCTTTTGGCCCCCAGGCGCCATGCCGCAGTCTCCGCGAAAGATACGAGTGCATCGTCGTTTTGCAAGGAGACATTGAAACCGCTATTGGGGGCATGGCTGCCTTTTGAGGGAGCGAAGAACCTGCACGCCACGGTCGGATCAGATCAAGGAGGCACAAAGGGGATTTTGCCTCGGATTCACGTAGCAACGTACTTTCGAAGTTCTTGAGAACGCTGACTTTGAGTTGGGCCTCCAACAAATGGCATTGTGGGACGAGCGGACGCGACCTTGCTCTTGGGGTTGGATGCTACTGGCGAATGCCGTCTCTTCCAGGGCGTGGGCGCGCATTGGGGTCCTGCAGCCGTCGGAACCACATTGGAAGGTTCGAGAGAGGGGGGCTTGAAGAGGGTGAGGATTTTGAAATGTCAGGTGTCGTCGTGCTTTGATCGAGTCGAGGACATCAACAAGATCGCCACTAATCACGATCCGATGAAGCGGCACTAGAGCCGCGACAAGCGCTGAAACACTTTCAACACTAAAATAGCTCAATACCAATCATACGACTAGTGTGCCTCAAGGTCCTCATTTTCAACAGCCTTCTCGTTCGTCATCAAGCGGCTTGGCAACGTTCATCCCACGCTGTAATGCAGATATTCATACTCTTCGCGTCTTTTACGTGGGGGCAGCAGCACCAGACCTGGGGAGAGCACCGGCAACCCATCTTCTGGGGTCGTTGGAGAGATACTTTATGATTTAAACATCCCCAAAGCTGAATCACTATCAATCACGAAATCCTTGTCCCGTCTTTGACGCAGGTCCATACTCAAAGACACCGGGATCAAATGTCTTTCGGCGCTCTTGATCCAGGATCAGGTATGCAGCTCTCGTTTATTGGCCGGACCATCTCCGAATGCACATCGTGTCCCAGCGAGCCTAATGTCGCCGGATGCTGCCGGTTCCCGGCCAACGCGGAGGAGCGTCAACATCTCTCGGAATGCATTGATGCTGGTTGCGCCGAGCCGGTTTGCGATGAGTGCTCTCATCACGAAGATTGCTGCGACGATTGTCTCGTGGACTGCGGGTCAGATTGTGGAACTTCCTTTGGCTGCGACGAGCTTGACGTCAGGGTTGATGATACCTACGTCTTTGAGGGCTCTCACTCTGAACTCTTCGGTGATCAAACAGCGCAAACTTTCGGCTTTGGCTGCCGTCTTCCCCGGCTGGCAATGGACAACACGATTACCGAATCGGGTAATTTTGGCAAAACCCTTGACGATACCAGGTCATCTACACTTCCTGCACATGGTATGAATCAGAGCTATCCGGGCTCTAAAATACAGTCGTATCCTTCTTTCCAGACTCCTTGGGCGCCTCACACACCACTCAATGCGCCGGAAGCCACAACACCCAGCGGAGCAAGCTATGATTCTGACTTTCTGGGACTACGCAACCATGAGCTCGCACCCGCCAATGTCTCACCCCTAGCACGTAACGGTGATCCTCTCACATACACGTCAGACTCTACTCATGATAGCCCGGACCCGATGGACTTTTCACCAAGTGCGCATTACGATCACGTCAATCTGCTCACCGAGGAGTGTGATCCGACGAGACCGTTCCATCCTTCGTTACGCTGCCAATGGGCTGACCCGAACGGAAAGCCATGCGGAAAGAACTTGCGACTGGGTAACGACATGCATGAACACTTGAAATCCGCTCATGGAGTCAAGAGTGGAGTCTTCTGCCGCTGGGTCGGCTGTACCGTCGGTGTCTTCGGGGCATCTTTGCACAAGTTCGCCAGCAGTGTCGAACGCCATACATGGGGTCACAGTGGTTATCGTCCTTACAAGTGCTCGGCATGCAATGAAGGTTTCGCTGCGGCCAGTGTCCGCGATGAGCATTACACGAATATCCATTTACGCAAAAAGGTCTTCTCATGTGACTTGTGTCCTCACCAATGCACGAGCGCTACCAACCTGAAGAGGCACAAGGACGACAAGCACAGCGCAGAGAGATTCCAGTGCGAATTCTGTAATCGAAATGACAAGCGAAGACTCTTTCCTCGCGGACCGAATCTAGCACGCCATTTCCGAAACTGCAAGTACGTGCAGGCGCAGTTCCCAGAGGCTGCTGCCGCAGGAAAAGCGAAAGCTGACTGGCTGCCACCTGGTTACAAGAGGGGGCATCATGGCATGGACAGGGCCAAAGTCACACCTCCAAACTACCTGCCGGCGCAGATGGATACATGAGAGCAGGTGTGATGTTGTTGAGACCATTGACTAAGCCCTCAATGCCGTTCAATGATCCACCTTGTTCATGGTCCAAGACTCAAAAGGCAGCTCAGAAAGTCTTCCACAAGAAGTCATCGACGCTTCTTTCGCCCAATACAGCGCTCATGGCTTCCTGGCATGTACTTACCAACTCCTTGAACCCGAATGGCTGCAACTTGTGTTCGTTGGCCTTGTAACGATCGGCGGCTTGAAGGATGGCATCCAAGAAGCAAACACAGTTTCGTCCACGCTCTCCACCATCGTGTGTCTTGTCGCTTACGATAGAGATGATTTGCACACAACTCATGTAGATCTGGAAGAAGTTGACCCTTGCGATTGGAAAGGGACCGGCAAAATCTGGAAGAGTTGCTTCCTTGAGATGAGAAAATTGATGCGGGCATGACATGGACGTGTATTCCTGTGTCGGGTGGTTGTGCGCGCATGTATGCATCTCGTGATCCTTCTCACACGTGCCAGGACGGGCGGGAGCGTGGATACGATTCCAGAGACTTTCATTGACATGGTAGCCTTTCTCCTTGATGTGATAGAAGAGCGATATTTTGCAGTAGGCGAATCTTGTGTCGTTTGCCTCCTTTCGTAATCCAAATCCGGCGGTGGCTTTTGCCGTGTGAGCTGGGACGGCCATATGATGAGAGCCAGACCTGTGGTCCGAGCCATCAGACCTGAACTTCAACCTACCCCCCATATACCTGATGCAGCAAGCTTTGAAATTCCGGCTCGGCCGACCACCTGGAAATAGCACGTCATTGAATGTATTACGCAGCTGCTCGAGCAAAGGTATCGACCTGAAGCCGGTGAGCTCTCTCAGAGCATGATATACGTGGACGACAGATCCCACGTAATGCCGATAGCTGAACAAGCGCAGGCCATAGTAGAACAGAGTCTCATGCATCTCGAGTATATGAGATCCGGAAACCCAAGGTGACTGGAAGTACAGATCAAAGCACTTCTCCTGGAGGAAGGTTTTCAGGTCCAGTTCGAGGTTTCCCAAATGAAACGCCAGGGTTTGGGGACATCGGCACGGCATACTGGAGTCTTCGAGTACGGTGTGTACGCTGTGTAGCGCTTCCTGTGCGAGCTTGAGTGCTTGCAACCGACAGCTTGGAGGTGCGCACACCCCTTGGCATGCCAACATGAAGCTCTTGTAGGCATCCAGGAGCATGCGAAGCCCAAAGGCGCAGCGAAGACCGTTGACATTGTTCTCCTCATGTGTGAGGAAGTATCCGATATCTGCATACAAGGGCGATCCCGCACGAACTATATCTGTCGGCAGGCATTTGGCTTGCACATGCTGTTTGATATTATACAATATCATGCTCAGACACTTTTCGTCCGCTTCCCCCGAGTTCGGTCCTATTCGAAGAAGTATGTTTGAAGGCTTCGGTGTGCAGACCATCTCACTTCCATGCTTCGTCGCTCGGATGCTATCCTTCAGGTGCAACAGCAGGTGCCACGACTGTTGCAAGTTTTCGATTGCTTGCGTCCCTGGCTGTTCCGCGATGACCTTCACGGCGGTGGATCCCATTGGAGCGTCTTGCATTCCCATCAACTTCGCGCGCAATGCCCCAGGGTCGGAGCCATCGCATAAAAGATCAAGTCGCTGCTCAACGCTTTCGAACCTCGCAAAAGCAACATTCGTCATGAGAGCCGCCATCACCAGGGGGGTGTCACCCTTTCCGGCCTGCTCCCAAACCCCCTTTGTCGCAAGCAGTAGATCATCCATCTCCTGGAAAACATCGATCAGACTAAATGACGACCACAACGGAGGGAGATATACCTGTAGCTCCTTGCATATCTCAAAGGCATCACCCAACGGGTCATCAAGGAGTTGAGGGGTATCGTCAGTCCTTGGCACCGTAGCGACACCTTGTCTTGCACCTTCTCCATCACGATGATCGCTTGGCAAATCCGATCCGCAGTCACAGCAAGTGTCCGTCGTGCCAGGATTGAGGGCCGCAAATCGATTTTCCCATACCACTTGACTTTTCTGCCTACCCGTTCGCTTGCGGTCCTCCACGGGCTTGGCACAACATCCGTAGAGGTCGGTATAAATCTTGGTCAGGCTGCATCATCACCCCACGCCGGTCAGCAGTGCACAGGGAGCGAGACGTACCTACTCACCTTTCCGTGAAGAACTCGTGGTTGACGGTATCTTCAACGGTCACCTCGGGGCCACTTTTCGTCCTGAAGAAATTGCTGAGTTGTGTACGAGCGGCTATTACCTGGCGGAACTGAAAGTCAATGGAGTCTGGCATGACCACCGCCTTCTTTTGTACCACTTCCGCCAGGCCCAGCAGGTCCCTGATGGAGATGTTATGGAGACTTTTAATTTTGTTCGTGCCATGGCTCATCAACCAAGCAATTATTGCTCTCGTGTCTTGTTTGTACTGAACGTAGAGGTCGAAGAGGGAGGGAGGGATTCGTCCTCCGCTTGGAGGAGGTGGATGCGAGGTACCGAGCAGCATGTTCCCGTTCCCGCCGCTACTTGCATTTCATCTCCGGGATGCCCGTGTAATGGTGAGATTGGGCTACGGTGTATGCGGAAGATTGGTGATTTCTTAGAGTGAGCGAAAGATTCAAGAGATTTACAATGTCAAACTCGAAGGATTGTTCCTTGATGCAAAGATGATGGTGATTAGCAGAAGAATGACAAATGCGCGGTTTGGAAGCTTGATCGGAAGTCGTATATGGCAAACAATTAGAGGACCTTGACAGCAACGGGTAAGCGTATGGTTGTCTTTGAGGACTTTCCGCCGAAGGAGTCCTCCAATGATGGTTTGAGGAAGTTGATGGTTGGGTGATTGCGTGCTTATCTTCATGCATAAAGAAGTAAGCTTACACAAGGTCCTCATTCGACTAGTGCGTTCTAGGCCAGTTCATGGATTATTCACCAGGGTACACAATAGATTGTAAGATTAACATCAAGGTCCTCAACGTAGCCTTGCCTGTCTATCATTGGGTCACTACCAATGTCCCCCCTCCACCTCCCCCCACGATAATTCTCCTTCACCTTGATCCTCTGCATCCACAATTTTATACTCCCACCATTTCACTATTCCACCAAGTAAATTTAAACACCTCCTCATCCTACCACAATCATGTCTTCCAACGACTTTGGTACCGCAAACTTCAACTCTTCCAACGTCGACCTCGCAACAGCCGACCCCCGCGATGTCATCTGCGCCATCGCCGCCTCCGCCAACGAATACAACGGCCAGCTCGGCGCCCGCATATCAGCCCTCTTCGTCATCATGGCCGTTTCCACATGCGCCACCTTCTTCCCCGTCATCGCCAAAAGAGTCCCACGACTCCACGTACCCCTCTACGTCTACCTCTTCGCCCGCTACTTCGGCGCCGGCGTCATCGTCGCCACGGCCTTTATCCATCTCTTGGACCCGGCATACGGCGAGATAGGGCCCAATACCTGTGTGGGTATGACGGGAGGTTGGGCGCAGTACTCGTGGTGTCCCGCCATCGTCCTCACCTCTGTCATGATGATCTTTCTACTGGACTTTGGAGCCGAGCGCTACGTGGAGATCAAATACAACGTGCGCACGGAGCAGGACATCCAAGCCGCCGTCACGGGCGTCGAAGATGGTCCTCATGGCATACCCACAACGGACACGTCTCCAGCGAAAAACGATTACGAAAAAGGTTTCTCCGAGGAAATCGAATTCGGCGACACCGAAGCCGGCCGCCTCGCATTCAAGCAGCAGATCGCCGCCTTCCTGATCCTCGAATTCGGCGTCATATTCCACTCCGTGATCATCGGGCTGAACCTCGGCGTCGTCGGCTCCGAATTCAGCACCCTCTACGCCGTCCTCGTCTTCCATCAATCCTTCGAAGGTCTCGGCATCGGTGCGCGCATGTCCGCCATCCCCTTCAAACCTGGAGCCTGGCTTCCGTGGATCCTGTGCTCCGCGTACGGCTTGACGACGCCCATCGCCATCGCCATCGGACTCGGGCTACGCACGACGTACAATCCGAATTCCTTCACGGCCAACGTTGTCAGTGGCGTGCTGGATTCGATGAGCGCGGGGATTCTGATCTACACGGGGCTCGTGGAGTTGTTGGCGAGGGATTTCCTGTTCAACCCGTTGCGGACGAGAGATGGCAAGAGGTTGGCATTTATGATGGCGACGACGTTCCTGGGAGCGGGCATCATGGCCCTGCTCGGGAAATGGGCTTGAGGTGGATGGACAGAGGGTATGGATTCGAGGGGGAGGGTGGACTGGCTGTATTTTTGTTATTCATGGAGGCTTTGTCGGAAGGTTTGAAGGCCGGAATAGAGGTTTTGTATTTAGCTTATCCTGTGTATAGCCGGTCTGGACTTTGACACATAATCTTGTTTACATTGCTTCCATCTTGGAGTCGCTGTGTAATCATTCAGTGGTGGATTAAGTGCCCTGATATCGAGCGCGACCGGACAGCCTTTGATTCCTTCACCTTGACGGATCATCTGTCTTTCTTCGGATACTGTCGAATGATCTGAGCCCCTCATCAGAAGTCAGGCATTTTACACTCGTATCTCCAGAAATTCCTACCCATCTACGCACAGCCGCCCAAATCGGAGTGCGAATCTGTCACATAAGCGGAGAACACATCCGCTCCAACCATCCAAAAAAGCACTTCCCATGCCGCCGCACCTTTCACATCAAGCTTCTCAGTGCCCTTTACAACTTCTGAGTAAGATCACAGCCCCGACGTTCATTCAGAATATACAGGGATACCTATAACTGTATCTATCTCCGTTGACCTTGGAAAGAAGCATTCTAGGTACTATACATCCGAGTTTGGGGTTGTACGCGTAAGAATTTCGGGATGAGTGTATAGATATATATTGTAGAAATGGTGAGTGCGATGACGGCTCTCATCGTCAGATATGCCTAGGTCTATCTGGACGTTGTGGTAGGTCGGTCTCTTTAGACTCGATCGTTGGCGTTTCCCATACCGAGGCTGCCATTCCAAGGATATTGAGATGTTTCCAGGCCGACGTGGAGCGTTTGGAATCGCCGACCAACGTAATACTATTAAATCATTGTCTCGATGATCGTCAGAAGAGAATGTTTCACGGAAACGTTTATTCCTGGTAACAGCTGAAGTATCATTCGTTCATTGAATTATTGACAAGTTATAACTTACTCTCGTATTTAATCGTCACGATGGGTGCCGTTATTATAATTCAAATAGGTGACTTCAATCGGTGCACCTGCTATATAATGTGGTGTATGACAGGTCTTGCTTTACCGCAGATGCCTGACATCGCCGCAACCCTTGTCTATCGCATCACCACGACCTATCCTGCCATCGTATTCACTAGCATCGGCATAGAATTAATTCTTGTTCACTTGTTCATCTGCATTCGGTGGTGGGACGCTCTCCGAATATATGTTCAGCGCGACGATAAGACGTCAAACGCACCGTGGCTTCTGAAGATTCTGGGGATATATCGAGTTCCTACATCAAGAATCCAAACAAACCTATCTCGAGAAATCTTCACCTTTTCGAAAGCGATGAGGACAGGAACATCGGCCATGGAGAGAAAGATCCCGGGCGGACCATCGGAAATGCAACATCTGACGCAGGTTTGGTCCGAGGAACCCGAAAGTATGAATACAGGGAATGCCGGCGCTCGAGGCGGGTCTGTGGCCGACGATCAGTCAGAGCCCACACCTGCCGCAGATACAATCTCACAGTCAAGTGGAGTCGATCCGCTTTCTAGATCCGGGACCAACATGCCGTCAAATCAGAGAGTCGGCGATGCAATCCCGACAGGGAAGGCAATTACTGACAATCAGACTCCGCTCCCGACAGACGGCGCATGAGTAAAGGCTACCTATTAGGATGTGTAGTAGCAACCGTAAGGACACATCGTACTCCAGGTAATCTTACTCACCAAAGGCTTCATACAGTCTTCCGGATCCTTCAAGGTTTTGCCAGCATTACTGTCATGTTGAGCCCGCCTAGACTTGAGCAGCAGCAACCTTTTTCTACCGAGGTCAATTGCTGAAAGACTTATAGACCTATCAATGGGTTGGAGTCTTGAGAGAGTCTCAAACTGCATAGGCGGCTGAGATATTTGCTCCAGACCTCTAACAATTCACAAATACCTAGCAGATAGGGCAAAGAACAGCCGTGGAAAGTCTCTGACGGCATCGGTGGGCTATCTATGGACTTGAAGACTAACGGCATAGGTCTCCGGGTACGATGGAGTCCTAAGCCGCGGCCTCCTCCCAAACCCGCTGTCCATGCTTGTATATGTCCTTGGAATAACTTTTTCAAAATAGGTCGCATGCTTTGATACAAACATTCTTTGATCGCAATGCACGATATAAAAACAGAACAAAGGATTCATTATATCTTTATACCGTTGAACAAGCCGCCTTCTACGCTGAAGCCGACTCGATAAAGACAAAAGCAAACGGACAAGCATGTTCTGAAAGAGCGAATAACAAAGGGAGGTCTTCCCATAAATCCGCATGGCTCGAAGACTTCCTTGCCATGTTCTTAATGATTGATTGTAAACACTGGTTTCGCGCGGACGATGATGAACATTGACTGCCAAATCAAGAATTGTTTCGTGTAAGACTGTGCCTCCGCGCCCCTACTGCGCATCTTCGTCATGTCTGACCTGAAAAAGATCCTTAATGATCCATCCCAATCTTCAGAGTCCACCCTGTCCATTCTGTTCAATGCCGGTGACGCAGGCGATACCTTCCAGCGCGATATATTCCAATACCTTAACATTTGGGATGCCAGAAATATACGGATTGCAAGCAGACGTCTCGACCAAATTGTCAAAGGAGTGCCTATGTGGCAGACGCATGACAGACATGGTAACCTCATCTATACCCGCAATAGGCCTACGAACTCAACTGCTCCCACAACCCGTTCGACGCTGCGTTGGCTCGGAGCGCGGTGTAACGGGGAGCGATTTCCAGGACGGATCCCGTGCCAGACAGATCCCCTTACCAGCCTCCAAGTTAAAACGTGCACTGGCATTCAGCCACCGTTGAACGCCAGCCCTCCTCGGGCTTATCCATGTTGTGGCGATGTCTGCACTAGTTGTGTCAGCAGTGTGGCTAATCACTGGAGCGGTCTCGAGAGCCAGGCAATCAGGAAAGCGCATCGGACCAAACTGTGCAGACAATGTCAGCTCTACGAGGCAAGACGCCACCCGTGCGGTTACTCGGGCTGTGTTTGTCGGTCCTTGCTGAGCGATGGTTGGAAATGCTGGTCATGTCGGCACGAGACTCTCAGACAAGTAGGGAACAAAAGCACGAGACAATGGACATTGATTCGGGAATTCCATCGAGATCGTCAAGGGAGAAAGATCTCTGATCCCGATAGACCTCCGACATCCAAACCGGTTTGTCCTGGCTGCGCTCGATCTTTCATTAATCGGGACCTCCAGATTAGTCATGTAACCTATTGCATGTCATGCAACGGCGTCATCGTTAAAGCAAGTGTGGGTCCTGACTATCGTCCCACGGAACTAATGCCTACTCAGCCAGTGAGATGGTCGGCACGAATCGCTGCCAAATATGCCACGACGCCCCCGCTGGACTTTAAAGCGATCAAAATCCCCAGACGTTCATGAGCGACTCACCTTCCCACAGCTCCGGATGTGATGAATTTTGCCCCAAAGCCCGAGCGTGGGAAACAAAGCCAAACTCGAGTCGAGACGGAAGGCTTGGATCAACACTTGGTCGATTGGGTGTTGGTGTATCCTGATTTATGTTGTCTTTGCGGGACAAAGATACTGCATGATCGGCGTGAGATGTATCAAAGACGAATATAACAAAGACATACAGCCTGCACAATGCTATTCGTAACAAAGCTTCGACAATCGTATTCTATAGACTGTATCATTAGCACATTGTCTATAAATCCGCTTGATAACACTTTCCAGAACCCAAAAATTCTAGTACTTCTCTTCATTGCCCAACTTGTATTATCCTTCTTCATCATTCCTAACCCCACTCGAGACAATTCATTTCCCATTCTAACAATCTGCAACGATGAGGCTTTTTCCTCGCTCTATCCTGGGGTCCTTGGGATCCGTCACATCGCCCAAGAAGGGGAAAGACAAGGGAGCCGGACAAGACGCCGCGGCACCAAGTGTGCCAGGAGCAGGTAAAGACATACCAACACCCAGTATTCCGGGTGTGGGCAATGACCTGCCAACCCCTAGTGTGCCAGGGATCGCTAACGACATACCGACACCGAATGTCACCGATCTCCACAAGGACTCACCCACATCTAGCGCCGCTGGAGCCGCAAAGGGTACACCGGTCCCCAGTGCTGCAGGCGCGGAGTCAGCAAGCGATAGAAATGTGAACCCGTCTATATTCACCACATTTGTCACTGTCTCTGTCACAGATATCAGTACAGTAACTAGTGCAGATGTCACAGTGACCATTGTACAGCACGACTTGGCCACCGTGGCGACCACCGCGCCAACCACCGTTACGGTAATACAACATACTCTACCAACGACTGTCGCAACCACAATCGTCAAGACTAAATCCGTAACACCGTCTACCGAGCATATCGCAGCCGCGCACTCGACCGCGCCGCTCCCGCCAGCAGTAGCCGCAATGCCAACTGCAAAGAAGCACGTTGATCTCGCAGTGGTCTTATCGATGATTTTTGGGTTGATCACCTTGGGCCTCTTGGGCGCCGTTTACCTTTTGGTGACGAGGTCCCGCCGTCGCGCGGCGAAAGCAAAGCAGACGACCGGCATGAAGACGTATGCGGAGGAATTCGAATGGCCTCGGCAGCGACCTGTAGAAATGGATGGTATCAAGAGGAATGATGAATGGGGCCCGGTACAGAAGCATGCACGGGGCGTAGTGTAAAAGGTTAGAGGGAAGAGGGAAGAGGGAAGTGGTGAGTGGACTGGAATTCCAGGTTTGGAAGAAGCTTTGACACCTTGATTGTGCTAATGGCTGCTCCTATCCGTTTTCACAATAATGTACGCTACCAGTATCCGTCGTTTGACCGCATAGTGAACGTCGCTTTTGAACATTTTCCCGTCTAGCTGATCAATACTTTGTGATGGCGCAATTGCGGTGGGGCTCATGCCTACGCATCTGTCCGTCTTGAAAGTGACGGTCTCGATCGGGCGCCTTGCGCTGTCTATTGGGCCAAGAAGGCCTGTATTTGGTATCCGTGAAGCATCCTGGCCATAACCAAATGGTGATGTGTTGGTGCTAACCTCGGCGGTGATCCACTCGTAACACCCACAATCAACGCGATGCATCATACTCACGCATCTTTTGCAAGAGCTCAAAGCCAGTGCGGCCGCCTCCTCGCCTATACACCGTCGGGCTAGACGAATTTCGGTCAGCTGATGTCATGACCGATTACCAATCATTGCCACGTCTTCTTGTCAATAGTTGCCAATTTCTTGGTTCGTTGCGTGGGGGAGGCGGCCAGCCGACCTTGAGCGCGGTCACCTCTTTCGGGTTACCATAAGAAAAGTCTCCGACCGATAAGGATGCTATCAGCAAAGAATTCCTCGCTTTACCATTTCGTACAGTTTATTGTGCTTCAAGGTCCCAGCAGGCAAGTGACGACCGACACATCCCTGTTTGGCCGCCATGAAATCAGCATAGTGTAAGCCAAGAGCAGAACTCCTGCTGTCATTGCCTCGGAGCTGGCTATTGTCGCTGATCTCGATCCCGACCGAGGCTCCAAAATGATACTCTTTGCGTAAATATCAACTATGCGCGTGCTATCTACAACGCATATCTATGGCGCATATTGATGAGGCCATCTCTTCTCTATGCTTAGACTTACTGCAAAATGCGCAGCTAGTACAGTACAAGTATTTTCGCTTTGGTATTGATATCTCAACTTGCTGTCCGTCGCCCTCGCGCTCTCTGTTTCGGCGTTCCCCTTTCCAAAAATTTCACTTTGAAGCGAGGCTTCGGTGCAAGAGTCAGCTTCTTACAATGACAAATAGTCTTTCGTTCAAGTATGCCTCAGAAAGATATCGATACGACAAGTGGAGACAAACGAAGTATCCCGTAAAAAGTTATAAGCAGAGGGAAGACAGAATACGAAGATGACAGAGTCCCCAGACCAAGAAAAGGAGCCGATTGGTGGGCCTGCCTTCGCCCTGCATATTACATGCAGGACCCCTGCAGTGAGCATGCGATCGCATCCCACCGCCACATCTAGGATCAATATTATATAAACAGGCCCTGAGCTCCCGATACAGTCGTTGTACTCGAAAACATCGCCAGCAAGGATCACTTTCCAAAACTTCAAACACTACTGTGCAATCAAAATGCTATCCCCCTTGCTGTCCCTCGGCACTCTGCTAATCAGCTCTTCCTTCGCGCAATACGCTCCAGCGTATCTTATCGCTGCCGACGTCTATGGGAAAAGCTGTTCAACATGCGGCATGAGTACGTCTTCCTTCGATCATGCTTCCTTTGAGTTGGACTAAACATCGATATCTAGTCGCGGCCTTCCCTACAGGCAAGGGCACGAATGTCGCTATTCTCACCAATGACACCAGCAAAGCATTGACTGGTCAATTCAACAACACATACTGGACATTCAGTGGCTTCAGCAAAACCCACTCCCTATACATGGAGCCTACCGCCGATAGCAAAAATTTTCCTTGTGCGTCCCACACTCGTTCCATCAAAGGAAAGAACTGACACCGGAATGCAGACTATGGCAATGTAGGCATCAATTCCGGCTTTGCTACGCCGGGTTTCAGTGAAGGTGACGAGGATGGCCTGCTTGTGTGGAACAACACGGATATGGCGAATGGGGGATCTTGGTTTGCGTTTTGCCCAACCCTCGTACCTGGACACGAGTCGGCGGGGCTGCAGGACCGGGTGTTTTGGCAGTCGAATCAGGCGCCGGCTGAGGGTATGACAAATTGCACCACCATCGTATTCCATGGTGCTTTTGAAGGAGCTCAAGAGGAGTAAGCATTTGTCGAGACTCTTTTCTGGAAAAAAGGGGAAGAGAGTCAATTGCAGTGCGTTGGATGAGGGAAAAGAAGTTTGAACGGATGGTGTAAGCAAGAAAAGGATTTAAAATAGAAAGCGTTGATTAGATGAAAATAGAGAATGTCAGAACACAAAATAAGCTTGGGTATTGCTATTTGTAAAAGACACTGGTTCCCACCTTCGGATAAGAAAATTTTCCCTCATAAGAATTCCCGTTCTCACCCATAACCGAGTCATTTACCCTCCGAGGCTTGATGGAAACCTCTCTACTTGTGGTATGACTGCTGAGTTCATTCATGGGGGGAATCTTCCAAATCTGATTAATTAGTAGCCTTGAGCATCGCTGCGTATAACACATTCCCAATAGTGGGATCACCGATTGGTTCACTCGTCAGAGAGGCTTGCTCTGCCTTCCCGTGGTGTTTTGCGGGGAGCATCTCAAGGTTTTAAGGGGGGTGTTGTCCTCGAAGCTAGCGGAAGTTACTGCGCACCGTCGAAACCCACGCAGGTTTGCCGAGATGATATTGATATGGGGAGCCGGTGTGATTAGCACGATGAAGAACGACGGACGCAACAGCCGACGCAGGATTAGAAGAGGCAAACCTCTAATGACTGTAGTTTGACAGTCACTGGAACGTGCTTCTCTTCATGTGCGTTAATGCGGTCAACAAGTTCGACCATCAGATCAATGATTTCTAAACCAATGCGCACTAGATCGTCCTACGACCACCACAATCCGGTTTCGAATCGTACCAGTGACTAGTCGCGTAGGGGTCTAAGAAACGAGGTTGGTAATACCAGTGACGAGGACGACCAGTCTGCTATGCAGCAATACCCAGCTGAACTCCCTCCCGCAGCGCAAAGCTGACACTGGGCTCGGCAATATTCCACACCACATAGTGGGTCCCGAAGAACGGCGCGCCCATCACCGCGCAACCTGACGGGCAAGACTGGGCCACGAGACCTCCGTAACACACTACATGTATCACGAAATGAGGTTAGAAACGGTCGCGATTCTCAGTCTCGCGGTGGTAGCACGGTGGGGGAGCGAACAGATGGATGTTGGAAGGACCTAGAGAGGGGAATGTGAGGGAAGTGGAGAGAACGTCACGTACTCGGAACTTCGACTTCAAGGACCGGCACGTTGTAGGCGAGCGCGCCCGTGAAACTCGAGCCTGGAATCACATGTTGGTACTGACCGTTCAGGGGACTGGTGAAGTGAAGGTCAGGGAGCTTGGCGGAGCACGGCATCGCCCAATTCGTGCCATTTATACGGACGGCGTTGGGAATAGACTGCCAGTACGCGTTGACGGTGTCGTTTTGTATGGCGATGGTTGGACTGCCGAGATCGAAAAACATAGTGTCTTGCGGGTATGTCTTACCCCTCACGGTAAAGCTGAGGTTGTTGACGAGCCAGAGGGAACTAGTTGAGTTGTCAACGGCCAACTTTTTCAGACTAGAGCTGTATGTTGGGTCGACCGCGCCAAAACCAAGGGTACCTCCAGCATTGGTCAAGTCGAAGAGCGTTGTAAAGATGGGGGCATCTAGGCCGTGTTGAATAAGCTCGATGAACGTCGGTGGCTTATTTGTGACTTTCAAATGCATATACGTCAGTTACTAGCACGTTTTAGTTCCTCTTCTCTGTTCGCATTCCCACGTACTCGAATTCCCGGGTGACCATCCCAAGGCTAGAAGCCCGTCGCTGTAGAACCAGTCCCCTGGTACGACTTGTGCAGCACCAAATTGCATAGAGACCCCAACGCCGGCAACGCTGACCGTATCTTGGACCACTATGCCAGAGATACCGCTGCTTCCGCCCGAGTATGTCAGGGAAAAATCCGAGCCGCTGACGACGGGACTAGGAGCAATGGCTCCGTAATCATACTCCGTGTGCTTGCCAGACCCGCCTTGTGGAGGCTCCGATATCTGGTTGCTCCATACCCACCTGCGGTTGAACAAGGACATTGTCAACATAAAATCGTCGTCTGTCAACAGAGGCGCTTGTGAAAGAGTATCTCACGTAGTCTCAGATCCTGTGTCTAACTCCAACGAGAAAGTCTGGTCTCGGATGGTAACATCTACAAGCCAAGCGTATTCTCCGGTGTTGTCGGTGTATCCCGTCACGTCAGTGGATCCAGATCCAGTCTGGAGTCTTCGCTGCAGTGGGAGAGAGAAAGATCCGGGCATCTGATTCATGGCATGTTGAGGCGCCGCTAACACGCCGGTCCTTATGTGGAGCAGAGAGACTGCGATGACGAAATGAATGAGTATGGATAGCATTGTGAGAATGAGCGAAAGGCTTTACGAGATGAAATGGAAAAGAACGAACGATCAAGTAAAGCGGAAAAGAATGAACGTCTGCCAGAGCAGAGCAGAGTAGAATGTGGATCTCTATACGGTATAAGGAAAGTAGAACAATGTCAGCTCCGACAGGAAGTTGGTGCACTTTTATTCATAATGCAGTGAAGAACCAAAGGCAGATTATTGCGACGTGGGTTGTTGTTTCATCCTGTTACGAAACACCGAAAGCAACGCTAAGCCACAGATAGATTAATTGATGTAATAACAATATTACATAATTTACATAATCAGGACAACAGGGTAGGCGCAGCATGTTTCACCTGCGCCTCCCGGAGACGGTATGCTCAAACAGGGTACGGTAGGCAAGGGTGTCCGAAACGCTTAGGCAGAATACTAGTACGTTCGGCACTGGGTCTGAATCCTTTCCTAGCACTAGATTTAGCCGAAATGTAATCGTGGGGATTTGGGGTAGGCAAAGAGACTTGAAGTTCGCCGGCATCAATCACTTGCTACCAGCTGCCAACTCCGATTGGATTCTCTCGGCCGACTGTATCATACTTGACATGTCATGTGAGGTCGACGGGTCTCAAAGGATGAAGCATACGGGACGGGACGACAAGGAGAAAAACGTGATTTGGAAGGCGATGTGGCAGGATCGGAATGACAGCATTGATGTTCCTTTTTCAACTCACTGGAAGGGTATGAGTAGAGAGACTCGCAATGGTCAACAGGACCCAGTGGGTGCAAAATTGAGGAAGTCATGAACGGTGTTGCCACGTGAGCTGAATGGATCTGGACAATTCTCTGGACACAAAAATCAGCAGAGTAATGCCATAAGCTTCGTTGGAACATACATAAGCAATAATTTGACATCAACCTTGACGGCCGCAAGTGTAGCACAAGCCAGCCCTGTATTTGACCCGACTCTCCTACTCAACCTTTCTAGCCATTTCAAGGTTCGACTTTGACCATTCGAAGCCGAGTTTCTGACCATCGTCTGTCCATCTCACGACTCCTCAACCTCCCTGACTACCCTCTCAAAATTCCCCACATCATGCGCGAACCTTCCCAGAAACAGCCCATCCACCCCCTCCTTCAGCGTCCCCCAAGTCCCGGGCTTCGCACTCCCACCATACAATATCCTTACATCCGCCCTCTCCTCCACCGTCCCAATCAATTGCTTCAGACTCTTCACCACCGCAAGTACATGATCCGCACTCGCAGGCTCCTGCGCTCCAATCGCCCACACAGGCTCATAGGCAAATATGATGGGTGCGTCGCCAGGGACGGCTCGCAAAACGCTCATGACTTGAGGAGAGCACTCGCGGACCGCGATTCCGACGCCCTCGGACATGATACCGCTCCGCGATTTCTCTCCGATGCAGACGAGTGGTATCATGCCATTTCGTACAACAGCCTCCGCTTTTGTAGCCACCACTTCGTCCGTCTCATTGAACGGCGCTCTTCTCCTCTCCGCATGGCCCAGACAGACGACCCGACAGCCCAATTGCTTCAGCATGAGTGGAGAGACTTCGCCGGTGTAGGCGCCGCTGTCCTCTGCGTGACAGTTCTGGGCGCCTAGGATGACCTGGGGGGTCATATCCAAAAGATCGGAGGCAGAGGCGAGGCAGGGATAGGCGGGGAGGATGAAGATACCGGTTGAGATGGAGGCAGGTGGGGCGACGAACCTGGCGATGGCGGTGATGTAGGCGGTGGTGCTGGGCGCGTCGAAGTACATTTTCAGGTTGACGCCTACAAGGCGTTCGGGGAGGGTTGGAGGTTTCATGGCTGCGGTTGAAGTAGAACAGACAGGGTTTGATGTGATGAGCTGGTCGGGATGAGCTGCGCAGTTGAAAGCAGTGAAGAAGGTGAAGGCACTGTTCATTGACCGAGGCGGTTCGGCAAACCTTCCCTAAAGAGACGAAACGGCAATGACGTTTTTGCGGGGAACCCAAGTCAATCTCGGTTGACATTGACGACCTCCACTCTTGAACAATGCTTCCAAAACGGCTGATTCAACAGGAAGCCCGACTACTTCCACCTTCCCCCTAAACATCTCGACCCCCAACCCAAAAATGGCAGCCCACGGTCTCCGCATTGCCGTCGGCGGCGACGAGGCCGGCTTCTCCTACAAAGACACCATCAAAGCCGACCTCGAAAAGGACCCCCGAGTCTCCAAAGTAATCGACGTGGGCGTCATCCACAACGAAGACAAAACCGCCTACCCGCACGTCGCCGTCGATGCCTCCAAGCTCGTCCTCTCCGGCGAAGCCGACCGCGCCCTGTTGATATGTGGGACTGGGCTCGGCGTCGCCATCTCCGCGAACAAAGTACCGGGCATAAGAGCCGTGACGGCGCACGACAGTTTCAGTGTCGAGAGGGCGGTGATGAGTAACAACGCGCAGGTGTTTTGTATGGGGCAGCGGGTTGTGGGGATAGAGTTGGCGCGGAGGCTGGCGAAGGAGTGGGTGGGGTATACGTTCGACCCGGAGAGTGCGAGTGCGGAGAAGGTTCAGGTGATTAGCGACTATGAGGCCCAGCATCATGCCAAAGGGGTGCATGAGAAGACTGCGTGATTAGGAGTAGTGGTTGCTGGGGTAGATGTTGAGTAGGGGAAACCTTCAGCCTTGAACGTACGTGTCAGCACACAGAGCTCCTTGTGGCTCATATCAGCACGATGAACCATGATTTCCTCAGCTTCATGCCGTATTATCGAGATACTAATACAAGCGTCGAGAGGTGAATTTGTTGTTCGAAGCTTGATTTATCTAATCTTTCATGACAAGCTCAGACATTGCTTTTCCTGTCGAAGATGGGGATGGGATAGGGACATTGAGCGACTTTTGCGAAGCAAGCTGTCGGCTTTGCACATCCATGTTGCGGGGTGAATTATAAACGTTCATTGACGCTTTATTTTGGCGCAAACACACCGGCCATGAAGGAATCATGCCGCCTTTGCGTGAAAGCCAGCACATAATTCATCTCTGACGCTTACTCTCCAGTCAATCCGACTTGAGCACAGCAGTATGATCATAGGCTGCCGTACCACCCAGAAGATCTAGCGCTAAGATGTCATAGAGGATCAAGAGGTCATGGAGAGTCACCACGCCCTAGAAAGAGAACCCGGGAGCTTCGTCCTACATCAAGGCCGGCTATGCCCGAGATGGGCGAGTCCACAGGCTAATTCTTCGTCTCCCACACCATATCATCAGGAAGGGTCAGCAAAGTTACCCATGGTCAAAGTAAATTGCAAAAGCGAAACCGAATCCAGAAGATAGAATCCCCGTGCTGATATCTACCATAACTAGGGTGGTAATATGGAACGCGGTCGCTGGCTCACCGAGCTTTTGAGATTCCAACGACCGTCCTACTGGTCTTTGTATCAAAAGTGGATATTCCAGTCTTGTGCTCATCACTGATATCTTTACCGATCCGCCGTAGTAAGGGGGGCCCAGTTGACTTGAAGATAGTAACAAACTGAGCGTCTGGGGGAGTGTCACATCGAAAAGGAATATGAGTGTGGTTGGAATGTAGCTCAATGGCTAAACACATCAGAAAGCTAGCGGTGGCACAAGATGATGGATGAAGAGCTTCTACTATCATGACGCAGACTCCAAAAGCGATGAGCGTTCCGTACGGGCCATTCCTCCTTTCCCGATCCAACCAGCATTATTAAAGATAATTCAATGTCAGTCTCCCCCAAAATCGCCGTGCAGCACATCACAGCATTTGACCTAGAGTCGTCGACTGGTTGGCTCGTAGACCTGAGTCGGAAGGCCGCAGCCAGTCTCGATACCAGCGGTAACCTGGTCACCGCAGCATAAGCACCAGTACAGCTCACGTTCCATGCACGCGAGAGAGACAAAGATTGAGGACTTACGGTAACAGCGCAGCATTGAGGCGCATAATCATAGGGGCAGTAGCCGAACTCGTAGGTAATCTGCCCGCCTGCCATGGCATTGATACCTATTATTATGAAGTAGCGTCGTCAGTACATGCCTGTCAGACCGCAGGCAACATCATCGCATCAGCTGGTGAAGACATACAGCCGGTGTGGGTACCGGTCGGCTCTCCGGCCACACCGGCGATGGTGGTACCGTTGCAGCACTGAAGGACATCGGGAACGGTGCAGAAGTTTTCGACCGAGGCATCCCAACCTGCAGGGGCGGAACCGCCGGAGCCGTAGGTGTTGCCTGGGGTAGGCACCGCGAGGGCCAGGGGGGCGATGAGCGCCGCGAGAAGGAGGGCGAGAGGTGCCATTGGGAAGGACGCGGTGGAGATTGAGAACGAAGTGGGAAGATTCTGGGGATGAGCGGTGAGTGGGGGAAGGATTGGCTAAAAGAGAATGATACTGATGAGATGGAGAGGGTTGGGGAAGTGGAGAGATGTGGTGCTCTTCTTATAATTTTCCTTCTTCCCACCATGTATGCTTCTTCCACGTGATGACTCTAGGCAGTGGCACACGGGTCGGACAACGCCCTTGTACGGGCATAGTTATGTGACGACATCGACCTCTTCCGCTCTCGCCTTAGGATACATGTGATCCTTCGTTGGCCAAGAAAGTCCCACCATTGGTTCAGCCCCCCCCCAACTCTCCCGAGCATTTCCTCAAGATGAGTGCCTCCCTTGCCTCACACGAGTACGGCCGGCTCTACGGCGCTGACATTAAGCTATATGATGTATGCAAAGCCGGTAGTTGAAATCGGAGAAGCTGGTGCTCTTGTCGCCTGCCCCTGGCAACAGTGCGCGGAATCAACATCGAAGAGATTTTCACGGCAGTTCCTGTTGACCTTGAACGACGTGGAGGATCAGATTGCAAAAACCACTCCCGTACTAGAACGCTCGCGAGATGGTGAAAGTAATCTGTGCTTAGGCTTGCCTAAAAGGAAGAAGCAGTGCTTGCTGTATAGAGCTTGTCACACAACATTTGAACTAAATTTTCTGGTGTTGAAACACCATTCGGCTGTACTTGCAACTCGGTGAGAAGGGAAGCTCTTCTCGTCACCTCGAGCAGTTTCGTGTGCCGCTTTTTCCTCTCTCCACTTTGGCATCGGCCATATTATGGGGAAATCCATGCGATTTGGCTTAAATGCGATCATGTCGGTATGGCATTTGGCCGCGTGCTTTTCAATGTCATCTTCGGTGGGGGAAACAGGGCGGGGGCGGGGGGCGGGTCACGTTGCTGGATTGCATGTGGATTCCCGGTTTATATCGGTCCCAATAGTCGCAGATCTTTTAGCGGAGTGTTAGTCTCAATTGATGTAGACTAAGAATTGATGAAGTATTTAGAAGGTTGCATTGAACGCTCTGGCTAAATAATTTTTAGTTTTCGTGTGTCACCACTTCCCGTCACTGAGTCACCTTGATGTTGTGGGGGTCTTGACCGATGAAGTCCGAGGCGGTTGGAGTCAGCAAGATAGCACGCTAATCCAAAAAAAAGAGAACGCAGCTTTCTCTTCCCGTCTATCTTGACCGAATATTTCACATAGGCTCACTCGGACATCTAATTTTGGAGTGTTCGCTGGTACTTGGTAGTGTTCGGTGCTTTATCTGCACGATCAACCTATATGATCATGGATATATTAAACATTGCAACGACAGCAAACACTGCCATTGCCACCTCCAAGGCTGTTACAGTGACTCAACTACTGACACAACTACCATCAGCGATTCTCTCGCCGAGTGGCTCTAACCGCCCAGAACCTAGTAGAACAGTAGGTGCTAGCACTAGGGCCGTAATTGGGATTGCTGCTGTTGTAATCGCCATACTCTGTGTGTGCATTTCAACTAATCAAAAAGCGGAAGGTTCGCCGCTCCGTGGAGACAAGAGCTCGAGCAAGACCAGCCATCGACCACATCTAGAGCTCTTTGGCTCGTAAATCGGATTCGAAGTCGACACTAATTCTAAGCATGAGAACCCTGTTGCCGTCGGATGTGACTTGTCCTCTGAATAATTGGATACGAGAAGGTAGGAATAGTGATAGTACAAGACAACCGCTGTTACAAGGATTCGAAAACTTACCCCATAGTAAGCTACGTATAGAGTAGTCAATATTCTCAGGAGACATCCGTGTTGTCGTACGGTGAAGATGTCCGATTCAGCCTAGAGAATTTTGCTTGACTCACGAGCTAGTTAGCAGCTCCCCGCGTTAATCCACGAGGCTGGACCTGAAGCTTTATCTTACCTTGGTGATCAGGCTACCCGGAGAATAAATTTGTATTCGACTAATCCTCCCGCAGTCCCGCCAGTCACGATTTCATAAAGGCCTATTGCCTGACCCTCTTGGCGTCACATTTCCGAGACGCTATGACATGCTTCGTGATGTATTTGAACGAATGATTGATAAGATGGTATTATTAAGGGGTCTCCTTGGTGTTACCTCAGAGCTTCGGGAAGGAATAGCAATCTAAGCACCTCCTGGGAATAACATTCCGGTAAGACATCCTGACATATCACGCAACTCGTATGGTATAATGCATTTGAGTGATTTTTTAGATGCGAGCTTCATTCTGAGAGCGTTGAGGACAACGCAGACTCGAGAGCGGTTTTTAAACCCAGCTCAGGGCTGTGACTGCTAAGCCGGTGGACAGGATGCCGGTCATTGTCACGAAAATGGATGTTTGGTCGTTCCCATCAAGATCATATAGTGATAAGCCTCTTGACCAATCACCGAGAACCGCTCTGCCTCTATATATTGCTTCTACATGCTTCAGATGCCGCAGAGACCTTATAGCTCTGATCCCTTCGCATAACCCAAAATCCAAACGATGAAATAATCCACATTAGAATCTACCAGAAATATACCCATGTGTGCCGAAAACAGTATTCTAGTCCTGCACACCCTTAATCAACGTCTTAATTCCCTCACCTTTCCGTGTCGTCTCCCACGCCTCCACCGCCTGCCCAAATTCAACCGTCTTCGTAATCAGTTCTCTTACACGCAGCTTTCCCTCACTTATCAAGCTCAACGCCAACTTGAAATCGCCGCTCGAATACCGGAAACATCCCTTCATCGTCAACTCTTTCTCCGACATCGCCACGATCGGAAAGTCCATCACGTTCCTCCCCAATCCGCCCTGCACGTAAGACCCACCGACCCGCAGCACATGGATCCCCGTCTGCACCGACGGCGCGGCCCCACTCGCCTCCATCACCACATCCGCCCCATCATCAAGCCCATGCTCCGCAATCAGCCTCGCCGCATTCTCTTCCGCCGAAGCCCCGGAGTCAGGAACAAACGTGCCACAACCCCCGACAAAACTCTTCGCAACCTCCAACTTCCGCTCCAAGATATCAACCATGACCACCTTACTCGCCCCAAACGCTCTCGCGACACCTCCGCACAACAACCCCACGGTCCCGGACCCGAAAACCACCACCGTCTGCCCCACCCGCACGTCCACCAACCGCGCCATATGCACCGCCACGCTCGCCGGCTCCACCAGCACCCCTTCTTCCAGGCTCACCCCCGCAGGCAACTTGTAGCAGTAGTCCTCCGGCAGCTTGAAAAACTTGCACAAAGTGCCGTGGGCTTCGGGCGGACTGGCCGCGAACGTCATCGACGCGCACAGATTGTACCGGCCTTCTTTGCAGCGGGCGCATCGCCGGCACGGGAAGCCGGGTTCAAGCGCGACGCGGTCGCCAGGGGTGAGTGAGCGGACGGATGAGCCGATGCTGTGGACGGTGCCGGAGGCTTCGTGGCCGAGAACGAGGGGCTTACCGGGGACGATGGAGTTGGCGCCCATGCTGCCGTGGAGATACCAGTGTACCTGAGGGTGGTCAGCTTCTTTGGTGCGTAGGTGGTGATTTGCATTTGGTCATGGGGCTACAGGGTAATGGATCTTGCAGGCGACTCGGACATTTGAAAAGGTGTTGAGTGATAAGGTTAACATTGTCTAATCGAAACTGCTGTAGTCGACAACATGACTGGGAAAAAGAGATTGAGATAGAGAGAGACATGGCTTACATCGCTTCCGCAGACGCCAACATATTGGATGCGGATGATGACGTCGTGCGGGTCGCATATCTCAGGTACCGGCCTGTCTCCATACTTGGCCTCTTGGGGACCGTAGAGAAAGCAAGATGGGTTCTCATTCTGCAACAAACCCCGTTAGCAGGATCTTCAACCAAGCTTCTACACAAATGCTGTCGCGGGAGACGGTGGCACCTTTTCCGACATTATTGTGGCTTAATTATATTTTTACTTATAGCGGAAGAAGAAGAAAGAAGTGCGTGGTATTGGGAGATGCTTGTATAAAAAGTTTTCAATGAACCCCAGCAAAACAAGCGGCTGAGGTGTCTAAATATTTTATGTTGTAGCGCGGCGTTTGGCGGATAATTGTTGGTTTTGACGGCTTATAGCCATTAGCCACGGCTTATGGCCATTAGCCACAATGTGGCTGAGGGCTACAGCCATATAGCCATAGATAAATATAGCCATAGGTAACATAGTCATTAGCAACAGTCATATAGTTATAGGTAATAGTCATATAGCTATAGCTATAGTATGCTAGGGTAATTAGTTTACTTAGCGTATATATAAAACTAATACGTTTAAAAGACTAAGATATAATTCTTAAAGTAATTCGATTTATTATAAACTATAAGCCGAAATCGAATAACTCGAAAAAACGAATCTTTAGTAATTTAGTAAGCGACTTTTTATATTTATATTAAATCTATATCTACTTATATAAAATTCTTTTCTTATATTCTATCTATCTATATATATAATTTATTTATATAATATTTATATATAGTCTTAACTTTAATTATATTAGATATAATCTATTATATTATTAATAGATTATAAATCTAATTAACTATTAATCGAGATTTTAATCTTTTACTATATCTATTTATTAGTATATATAAAAGAATAAGATAGAGCTAAGCTAGAAAATCTTAAATTTATATATATAGTTAATTATAAATTTATTAGATCTACGCTTTTTAGTTAGATACCGCGAGTAAATAAATTAGCATCCGTAATTATTAAAAATCTATAAAAATCTATATATAGAAGTTTTATACTTTAAAATAATTAGCTTTCTAAGAATACTATTACTTTATAATTTCATAAATTATAAAACTTAGTTTACGCTTTCTAACGCTATAAAAATTATAAAGTTTATTTTACTATTAATAAATTAAACTAATATTTAAATATCGTAATTATATTAAATACATCTAGAATTAGATAATAATTCTTTTACTTATTTATATAACTATTATTTCTTTATTACTCTATTAATTCTAC